TCAGGAGGCTGAACCCTCAACATATATATCGTCAAATAGAACTGCCCGGTAAACCGTATATCGTCACAAACAGAACTGCCCGGTAAAACCGTAGGCAGAGAGAGAGAATATATATATATATATATCGTCACAAACATATATATCGTCAAAAATAGAACTGCCCGGTAAACCGTAGGCAGAGAGAGAGAAGTGGACAACAAACAAGGGGCTGTGACAAACTGTTTCGTCGGAGTTTCACCGACTCATCAGGATGTGTGTGTGGCTCAATCAATCTGGGAGATTATCATAATTACGCAGAGATCGTAAGATTATGAATGCAGGGTACACGAGGAGGTGTGTCTCCACAAAAAAATCAGATGGATGTGCGACTAGAAGACCATTCGTGTACGTCGACAGTTCATGGGATGATATTCATATATACTAATGACAGGCTCGATTCCGGTAATTATTAACGATGGAAAATAACCGTCCAATTATTTATAGACGAGATTTGGTAACCACCACTATCGGATGCATAGATGTAAATATATACGTATATGTGTGTGTATATATATATATGTACACACACACACATATATATAGTATATATATATGACTAGGTCAATCCGGGAGATTATCGTAATTACGTAGGGATCATAAGATTACGAACACAAGATACACGAGGGTGCTCCAATAAAGCGTACCTCCGCAAAAAATCAGATGGATGCGCTAGAACGTTCGTGTACGTCGGCGGTTGGCGAGACGATATTCAAATGCTCAATAACAGGCTCGATCCTGGTAACTACTAAAGGTGCAACCAAATAATAGTCTAACTATTCATGTATGAGATCTAATAATCATTCACTAAAGGAAGAGGAGAGAGAGAGAGAGAGAGAGAGAGAGAGAGAGAGAGAGAGAGAGAGAGAGAGAGAGAGAGATGCAAAAAACTAGGTTCTTATGCAATCACACTCGTATGTAATCTTTCATACAATCACTGAGGGTGAGAAATAGTTGTCAACTCAATCAAACAATAATATCTAAACATCCGCAGTGATACGAGAACGATGCAATATTCGGGAGCTGGCCGTAAAGAAGAAGCAGTAAAGGATTGAAATGAGTAGTCTAATTACGTTTTACGAGAGGATCAGTAACCAATCGTAAGCGGAAGTAAACCATTTTCGTAGAGAAGTCCTTTCAAAAAAAAGAAAAAGAAAAAAGGCAAAAGGGAAAAAAAAAGACAAAAGGAAAAAGAAAAAAAAGAAATGAGAGCAGGAGCAGAAAAAGATAAACGTAAAAAAACAGATTTTTCCGACGAGCACGCAACCACAGTTACCATATATATAAGTAGTCCTTTTAACAACCACTGAGGGTGAGACATAGTCATATCCCAAAAGACAGTTTAATATCCATTTAATCATAGTGATAGTGAACGATGTAGACTTTTCGGGGACGAAGCAACAAAGGATTCGAAGGGAAGATGATCGCACACATCATGGGAAAACAATCCACACTGGAATAGGGGACGAGGAATAGGGCAGATAAACACTGATAATGTCAACAAAGATTAACATTATTCAAAAAACAATTCTCTCCTACAAACAGAGCTGAAGTTTCGTGAAACCACACCAGCGGTAGGGCACATGCGTGCAAAGCAAAATCGTTAGGAAGCAGTAATGAGAAAAATCGGTTGCATCCCGAGAGGTAGTTCCTCGTAATATGGGAATTCAGCCCCGACAACCAAAGCAGGGAGGGTAGTGGCAATCCCTGAAGCACTTTTCTGCCGCTAGCCACAAATGCACGGCTTCATCAGAGGGAGAACACCTGCTTGATCATGAGTGCTTGGGAAGTAGTAGCGGGGGAGAAGATGGCATTGCCTGCAACTGATGTAAAAAAGCCAAGAAAGCAAGAAATGCAAGCAGAGCGATGAACGCGAGAAGTACGTAGGCCGAAATTTCCACAGTGATCTCCGCTCTTTCCACCACCTCTTCATTCTGCAATGTCATGGCTAGGAGCGCAAATGCTTTGCAGAGAGCCCAGTGAAGCAGGTTCAAAGGAACGAAGAACAAAGCGATCATTCCCATGTGTAATGACCCGCCCAAAACACAGACTGAGAACACTGCTGATTTATGGGATTTGTCAATGGAATGAATGGCTTGTTGTGATTCCCGCATTCTGCTGTGGTCCCAAGTTTGTGTGTGTGCATGCCTGCTGGTTTGCATGCCTGTCTGAGTGCTTGTCGGTTGTGTGTGTGTGCATGCCTGCTGGGTTGCATGCCTGTCTGAGTGCTTGCTGGTTGGGTATGTGCGTGACCCGCCAGGGTACTTGTTGGTTGCAAGGCCCACCGGGCCGGTACTTACCTGTGGCCGTGACTTTGAAGGGTTGCAGGGGGGTAAAACATGTCCGTAGCGGGGAGTAGGCCCACGACACTTAGAGCAGCTGGGGAAAAACACTCAAGTAGCAGGTAGGCCGAGCAGAAGAAGACAAAAAGTTGGCATTTTTAGAGGCCC